ATCACCGAGGTGCCAACCAACGGATTGAGGATGCCGGCAGGATGGATGGTGTCACCTATGCTGATGAACAGACTGACCCACGACAGGACGAGACAGACTGGGGGCCAGGAGCCCAGTAAAGGAGGCTGAGGTGCGGTGTTAGTGGCTGGTGGTTTCAAGGGGCGGTGGGGCTGCAGGGCCCAGGATCTCCTGTCCCTGGGGCTTCTGGCGTCTGCTGAGCCCTTAATAAGGCTGTCCACTGTCCGTGGCCGCCTCTTGCAGACCACCAGGGGGTAAGGGGCAGCACGAAATTCCTGTTATAGAGTTGGACAAATGGAGGGTGCTCAACTCCCAGGAGGAATTTATTTGGTGGCAAACTTTTGCCAGCTGCTGCCGCTGCACTGGCGCAACGCACCCCACCCTCACCTCTACTTTCCTTGCCTTTTCTGGATCCCTTGGGGCTGTAAGAAGTCTTGCCCTTGAGGCTGCTGTTTTCTGGCACTTGGAGAAAACAGCAGCCTCAAGCCTCAACAATATCAGGACAGAATAATGAGGTCCTAGGATGGGGTGGGGGCTGGCACAGGACTGTATGACTGAGATCTCTTCTGAGCCCCTTTACTATTGGGGGAGATAGAATCCCAGAGAGTTTGAGGATTTGTCCCCATCATACTTAAACTTAGACCCTCTGCTTCTTAGAAACAGAGCTTTTCTCATGTTTCATGCAATTTCGTTAAGTCTGAGATAATTAGGATGGGATATTTGGCACTTACTCACCTAGCGGCCCTTTTCCCAACTCATCTCTTAAGATGGCTCTGCCAGTGATGGAGCCAGGTGTGACACCCTTTAACAGCCCCAAGGGGGCAGGTATGGCATCATCTTCGAGAAAGGTGGAGCTTTAAAGGGCCAGACTAGAAATATGATCTGCTTCTTCCTGTGCAGATGCCCTTCAGATCCTTCATTCCTCTGCCCCCACTCATCTGTGATGGCTTGGCCCTTGCTTCCCTGCTCATAGATAATTGCACCTTCACTTGTTAGTCTGTCAGGTGGGTATCACTACCTCCCAGAAGGGCTATGCGGAAATTAAGGGCAAAGGACTGTCTTCTTCCACTGTAAGTCATGAAAAGATATTTTACTCTTTTAAATCATACCTACAGCCACACACTGCTTCTGCATGGAGCCAGGAGCTAATTTAAAGTCCTCATTTTACAGAATGGAGACGGATTTGCTCAAGGTCACTTGCCAGGAAGGGACAGAACAAGGAACCCAGACCTCTGTGTATCCTCATAATATTCTATACTAGGGCTAGAGAGAGCTGACCTCTGGGCCCATCTACAGTGTGACCAAAAACAACTCTGCCCCATCTTTGAATCAGTGTCCTCCTCTCGGACTGTAGCTGTCCTTCTTTGTATCAGGGCTTGAGACTGGAGGGAAGGAAAGTGATGAATCTGTCAGTCTCAGGAATCTGACTGTGAATGGTGAAAGGTTAGCTCCATTGCAGTGATAGACAGGGACCCTCATCTGCCGCCCCCCCCCCAATCGGCTCTTCCTTTTCCTAGGTAACAAACTTTTTGGCTAGTTTCCCAGCTAACAACTAGGCCTTCCTGAACCCCTGTTTAGCTGGAGGAAAGCTCTATCTTAGAGCTCTTGAGAAAGTTTGGGGACCAGGGAAACAGTGAGGAACCTTGGCATCTTCTAGTCTCTCCAGAGAAAGAGGACCTTCCAAAGCCACTCTGGTCATTTCGGGTCCAAAGACCAGGACTTTCTGGAGGTCACACAGTGAGGGAGCTCAGGCAGCAGTGCTGGGCTGCAGCCAGGACTGTTTGGTTTCTGGGTCGCAGGAGCAGTTGGTCCAGAGGAGCACAGAAGTGTTCTGTGCCATCAGTTTTGCATTTCTCTGGGATTTGTTGGTAATCAGCTTTATCCTGATTTGAGGGGGAGATAGGTGGATTCGTAGAGAATTAGAGATGATACTCACTGGAGAAAGGGGTGGGTATGTGGAGATTGGTCCTAATGTCACAAGACATCTCTGTCCCTTCCCTTCACTTCCAGGTGCCCCTCTGCTTGCCACCAAGGACCTAGGCCCGGGCATAAAGAGCTCAGTGACTTAAACCCCAGCTCCTGGTTAGTGTTTTTTCCACTGTTCCTCAGCCAACTAATAAAAGTCACCTTCCCACTCATGCCTGACTGCCACCACCCCACCCCCCGCCATAGAGCTGCCTGACTCCATTTTTTCCTCAATCAACAAATATTGATGTCAGACCAGGGTTTTCAGAATGAGATCAGAATCAGATCAGAGGATCTCTGCTTCTGAGAGCTTGTTTTCCAGCCCTCTTCCAGGCAAACTTCCTTGGCTTCACCATCCCAGAGGACCCTTGGGGTCTAGAAGTTTGTGTTGTTGGAAGGCAATTTTTTAGACCTCCACTAATAACTAGCCCTTTGGCAGGAGACAGACCCTTCCCTTCCTCCTGTGACTTTCTGAACACTTTCTCAGTGGCCACTGGATTGAGTACAGGAATCTTTTGGAGCCTATACTTTGAGGACACTGAGGCTTTCGTGATTGAGAACTGAGGGAAAACAGGAGCCTTTCTTCAGGCTGGAGCGTGGGCCTTGGAGACAGTTCAGGGGTCTAGTATGGAACCTTGCTGCCCCATCCTCAGGATTAGCCTCTTCCCTCTCTTGGCAGAGCCCAGCAGTATGTGGGTGCTGCCACCAGAGGGCAGTGTGGGGCTACTTCTCGAGACTGGGGGCGTGGTCTGGAACGGGTTGGATCCCCAGTGGTGCCGCCACCAACCATCCCCTTTCCTGTAGTCCCGAGGTTTCCTTGACTGAGCTGTAAGGGTGTGCGGAACCAGCGGGTGGTGGCGGTCGGATCGGCCCGGGGGTGGGGGTGTAATTCCAGTGATGGCTTCCTGGGTGGTCAAGCTGGAAACTCAACTTGTGTGCCTCCTAAGTAGGGGCGGGGAGAGGCGCAGAGGTGGCCCAGCTCTTCAGGAAGAAGGTCCTTTAGGGAAGAATTCCTGGAAAGAGGTTACCCCTCTGAGTAGAAGCCCGGAATTCTTTCGCTATTTACATATTTGTGTGATGCTGAGGATGGAACCCAGTGCCTCATACATCCTAGGCAAG